AAAAATTCTCTTTGCTCGGTATTCTGTTCAAGATATTCCCAGCATCCTTCTGTAGAATCATATTTCCGTCACTTCAAGTTTCTTCATTGTTTGATGGCAGATCACCCAGCATCCATTTCGCCATAGAAATTCTGCACTCTCTTCACTGTTTTTAACGACTTTTTTCATGTTTATTAATACTTTGTTTAGCTTTTGGAAGGCATATTTATCTCTCCTAATGCGCCTTCGGATTTCAGTGCCATATTTTCCATTTACTGTTATAATTCATCCTAGATAATTTTTTTTATTTGTTTGATTTTGACGTCCCCAACATGTGGCTCGCATTTTGGGTTGTCCCTTTTGCTAATGACCATATATTCCCTTTTCTTTTTGCTTTTCTTGAATACCTTGTTTACGATTCTTGTTTCCAAGAGAAAAAAAACTTTATCTCGTAACGAAGAATTCAATTTCTTCTTTGCTGATTGCTTTCTTTATGATGATGTTTTTGATAACTAAATTCGCCGCCAACTTCCAGGTTTAGGATTACAAGCTTTCACTAAAACCTGCTCCCATCATCCATTCCCTATCGTCGTTGGGTTGTGCAAGATTTGGTTGGAGGTGAAAGAAAATCAAAGTAAAAGAAAGTGTTGATGGCGTGAATTTGTTTAAGGTAGACCTCAACTTGCCAGGAAGTGACCTAAACATATGATTTCATTACCTTTCCCTGCGGCACATATTGAATGAAACATGCAGAATCCAGTTCTGAGACTACAACGGAATACCGCTGACTCTGTTATAATTTCGAGTGGCGCCTTCTGTAGCATGTCCATCATGCGTAGCCCTTTTCATATGATCGTTCAACCGTCGAGATCTGTTGTAATCGTCATCCGTTTGTTTCACCGTTGGGGCCTTTGAGGTTAGTCGCGCTTAGTCTGGGTCCTCGTCTTTGACATTGCCGCCAAGGTGGTCCTACCAGGAGTTTAGAATTACCGACGGCATCGATCTCAGTGTAACAGAACCACGCAAACCGCTCCATCACAACAAGGAGCGAACATCCGAGGGATTTTCCATAGTACTTCAAACAAAAAATTAGGATTAATTGATTGATTTGATTTTTTTTTATTTTTACGGCTTATCAATAATTATCAGGATATTTAAAGTCATAAAATATTTTTACATTTTAAGAGGGTTTTAGAGATAATAATGAACGAAAGCTACAAGTTCTAGCAATTAACCCATAGATGGGGGGTGAGGTGGATTCATACCTATCTCAAGGGCATTTGCGCGTAAGTGAATATAATGACCCCGACTGGAATTGGAACTCGGCTCTCCGTTATTCATTACACCACTCGCATATCCAAGCTTACAGTACTGTTATTCCCAATCAGTCACTCATATACATAATGAACAGTCACGACGTTGCTTAACTTCGGTGATCTTTCGAGAAATCGGGGTTACAAAAGGTTAGGAAGGAACCCCCATTAATATTGAAAATAGAGATAACAGTGAACATAAGAGATATAATATTTTTGAATTGTAGGATTTTTTTGGTGGAGAGAGATAAAAATCGTTTAGTGATATATATGTTACTAATTAACCCATACCTGGAGCAAGAATAGGTGTATTCATACCTTTCCCAACAGTATTTGCGAGGAAGTGAATATAACAAATCCAACAAGAATTAGAACTCAACTCTCCCTTTAACAATTCCGAGCCCTTATTCGTTACACCACCCGCACATCTAAGCTTAGAGCACCTGGTATTTCCAAGCGGTCACCCATCTGACCAGGCTTAACGTAGCGTAACTTCCAGGAACCGGTGTTCCAACATGATATGGCCATAAGCTTAACGTGTTGTTTAATTTGTTCACGAGGAGAACAAGGCGACGAAATTGGGTTTTCTACGTCTATCTTCCTGTAGTAATTATTAAGAAGTTTTATCTCCACTTTACGCGTAAACTTGTATATGGAAGCTCCTAAGTGCCATTATTATTTGATTCCTCATTTTCTTTTTTGCAGTCCGGGTTCGCTTCGATTGACGAGAAGATAAGAGACGTAGCATAACTTCCATGATTGTAAAGGAACCAGTGTTTCAACATGATGTGGCCGTGAGCTAAAGAAAGAATAAGGGTAACCGATCATAAGAAGATGGCGGTTATGTCTATAGGTATCAGGACGCTCCTGAAGAATTTGGTAAAGAGGTTCCCCGGATAATGGTTTGATTTAGTACTGGAATGAAACCTCGAGGGAAGCACCATTTTGGCAACTAGTGACACCAAACTGATGCCAGACACATCAGGATTTCAGTCACCTTCAAAAGATGTCGTACGCTGGGAATACCTAAAAAACATGATTAATCATCTGAAGCCAATGATATAATGCCGTCGTCATCCAAGGCTCTAGCTTCTGTCCTACGGATATCCTGTTTTATATTAACGATCTGCCTAAGAATATTCACAGATCCTTACGATTGACAGCCAGCCATTATCATCAGTCGCCGTTCCAGGACGCCATCGGCAGTCTCACCAGCCGTCCTTGCCAGCAGCAACGACATACGATGAACTGTCCTTCGGGAAAACACTTCTCACCGACTACAAATCTCTCCTTTTCTGGATAATTCTCAACGGCCACAAAACAGTCGTTTTCAGGACATCACTTCTCGCAGACAACAATTGTGTCCTCTTCACGAAAACAACTGTCAAAAGCTACACTACATTACGGAACAACACTTTTCAATGACTAAAAGTCTGTCTTTTTCACGACAACAATTCTCAACGGCTACTAAAACTGTCCTTTTCTGGACAATAATTTTCACCGACAACAACAGTCCTTTTCACTTCAATTTTCACCGACTACAAATCTGTCCTAATTTGAACAATTCTCAACGGTTACAAAATTGTCCTATTCAGGACCACACTTTTCAGCGACTACCACTCTGTCCTTTTTCCGGCAACAACTGTCTTATTGCCGAACAACACCTTTCACCGAGTAAAAGTTGTTCCTTTTCACATCAACAAACTGTCCTTATCATCCTGTACATGAAAATAAACAGACATTTTTACCTCGTGTATTGTAACTTCTTTTTGTCGATGTACATTTAACGGATATATTTAACAATATATATATATATATATATATATATATATATAAGAAATATATTTTAAGATGTGCTATATTTATATAAAATACTCAATATCAGAGATAGAGCGTTTAAATATAAAAAGTGAACATAAAACTATATTCACATATATATATATATATAAATATATATATATATATATATATAATTATTTATTCAAAAACTATAACATAAATATGTTTAAAATCACTACAAAATTAGCCACTTTGTTTCAACACTTCTGTTGTCTTATCAAGTGATGGTGTTGAATCTATAATAAAGGGTTTTAAAAGATTCAAATCAATCAAGCACCCTTCGCTAGGGGAACGCTGTTACATTAGCTAGAATGAATAAAAAAAAATTATTGGTCTTTGCAGTTTATGTAACAGCGTTTCCCCTATTGAGGGGGTGCTTGATTGATTTGAATAAGACGATTTCGAGAAAGACTTAACTGACCTAGTTAGAAACATAAAATTCCATAAAAAACAAGATGCATTCCAAAAAAAAACTAAAAGCAGATATAACTAAAATTCAGCAAGTGTATTTATCGCTGCTGACAAAACGAGAAATTTATACAAACTAAGCCCTCCTACACACAATAAATTACTCAAGAACAACATAACCAAAACATACAAAAAGGCACCCCAAACAACAGAACACGATATCAATAAGGAAGCTAAAACAATCGCCCAAAAATTAGACCTAGATGACCGAATAAATTGTATTAGCAAGGCACGAGCCTTTTATCACACTAAAAGACCATAAAGAAAATTTCAAAACTAATCCTGCATGCAGACTCATAAACCCAGCCAAAAAGCGAACTAGGTAAAATAAGTAAAACAATACTAGAAAGAATTAATTCTGAACTTAGGAAGAAATTAGGAGTAAACCAGTGGAAAAATATGAAAACAACTATTGACTGTTTCCACAACATAAATAACAAACAAAATTGCCAATTCCTACAATTAGACATAAAAGAATTTTACCCATCCTTAACAGAACGTATGCTAGATAAGGCCATCAACTTAGCTCAGGAACAAATAATAATAAAACCAAGCAAAATCAACATCATTAAGCACTCCCGTAAATCATTATTATTCCACAACGAAGAAACATGGATAAAGAAAGATGGGATATTTGACACTACAATGGGAAGCTTTGACGGTGCAGAGGCATGCGAAATCATAGGTATTTATTTACTACACGAACTGAGCAAAATAATAGATAAAAATGACACAGGACTCTACAGGGACGACGGTCTCATAATCTTAAGAAACTGTAACAAACAAAACACAGACAAAACTAGAAAAGCAATAATAAAGATTTTTAAAAATAACGGATTCGACATAGATATAAAAACTAATCTAAACGAAGTAGATTTCCTAGATGTTACCTTCAACCTAAGAGAAGGCACATATAAACCATACAGAAAACCTAACGATAAACCACTCTACATACACATCTTCCAACCATCCGCCTTCTATAATCAAACAGATACCAAAATCGATTAACCGCAGGCTCTCCGACAATTCCTCCAATGAATCCCTATTCAACAAAGCTAAGAAAGACTATGAAACGGCCCTAAAAGATAGCGGATTCCCAGCAATACTCACATATTCACCACAGAATACAAAAAAGACCAACAGGAGAAGAAATATCATATGGTTCAACCCACCGTACAGCAAGAACGTAAAAACAAACGTAGGAAAAATATTCTTCAAACTCTTACACAAACAATTCCCAGAATCAAGCACCTTACACAAGATATTCAACAAAAACACAGTAAAAAATCAGCTACAGCTGCACCGAGAGCATGGCACAAATAATAAAAAAAGCACAATAGGAAAATTATCAACAAACCACACGAACAAATTAAACCCACGTGCAACTGCAGATAAAGAACG